AACGAAAACATGTTTAAAGAGACAAGAAATCGACCAAAGAGAAATTTTTTTTCATTTATGAATGGACTGAACAGCGCAGTTGAAGCTCCATTCATAATCATTCGATTTCATTCAAAAATTCTCGAAGCGATATATTCAATCTCTTGAAAGCGTGCCAAGTTCAATTCTCATTCAAATCTTTCTGGAGATTCAAATTACCAATTTTCGGCCATATTTTCCAAATGCTCACGCGCTTTATTATATTAAATCTCAACGTCAATTTTTAATTGTGTTGTTTTTGCTCTTTAGAAGTGTTATTGAATTGATTCAATGAAAAGAAGTATACGAGTATTGTAAGGTGGTAAACGCTTCTTATCAGCCAGTCTTCAACTTTTACCACAAGGTTTTCAATAAAAAAAATTTCGTCATTTACATTTTCAATCAATCCGTCGCGTTTATTTAAATATTTATGAATAAACACAGTGCATATGATACATATTATCTATTAACCCTGCGTTGTAAAATTTCTCCTACATATATATATATATATTGGAATATATATATAAATATATATATATATATTTGTTATATATTATTTATAGTTATACAGATATTTAGCCTTCATTCAACCAACACAGCTTTTCATGCCTGAATAGACTTACTTTTCAAGTTAGAATTCGGTCACAAGAGATAAAGTTAAAAGGAGTTTGTTTAAAATAGAAGAGGTTAATGAGTGCATTTCATTCAAAAGCTGATACAAAGAGTATTACTAATTTGTGAATAACCGTATTATTATTAATATAATACGAAAAGAACATATTAAATTTATACTTTTCCTGTTTCTGAAAGTAATATACCTTTATTTCGAATATTTTTTATTAGTATTCTTATTCTCGTTAGTTGAAATAAAAGTTGATTATTAATGTAATTTTATATACTAATTCGAAGAAATATTAGGGATTAAGGTCATGCGGTTTTTTATTATTATTTTATATTACTTTTCTTTCTCACATTCTCCACTCTTAAGGCAGGGGGGAGATCTAGAAGAAAGCGCTACTTTTTAGCATCAACTCAAATATGTTTTTAAAAAGTTCAAAAGAAGCCGACCAGATGTACTGGAAAAGTGCAGAGAATAACAATATCTGTATGTTTTTAGTACGGAAAAAGTACTCAAAGCAAAAATTTAAGCTTTTTTGGGAAAGAAAGGTTGAGGGAGACGGGAGGGGAGGGGGTAAGGGGTGTCAGGTAAAGATTATGTAATGTTTAGAAACTGATTAAAAATTATATAGAAAGCTTATTAAATAATATAAAATATACTTTATTGAACAAGATTCTACACGACAAATGCTTATTCATCACTTTCTTTTATTTTTTCCTTATGTTTTTCTTTTTAAATATATCCGTTAATAGATATTTGGCCTTAAATTTAAAAAATAAACTTTACCAAACAACCTGGTTAAGAAAACATTTACCCAATTTCTAAACGAACTATATAGGAAACAAACTATAAAAAAATTCCTCAAGTACCTGCTTCTTTCGGAGACGAAGTAGAGAAATAAAGAAAATACTCTTTAAAGCACATAAATCTTTTTTATCATAGATTGATTTATGAAATAATAATAAAGCATCCTAATAAAATATTTAATCAATATTATTTAGGAAACAAGGAGCCCTTTCTTGAATTATATGACTTAATATATGTTCAAACATAATCTTATATATATATTTTATTGAATTGCATGCGTAGGTTTATTTGTATGTCTCTAATTTGCATTTTCTTTATTCTAATCAATATTATGTCTTACCTTTTAGGGTTTTTCTATTGCTTCCTTTTCGGAATATTTTTTTCTTAAATAAATAATAAGCATAATAATCCATACAGATTTGATAAATAGCAGGTGAACTATCATTGTATAGTCTTTCTCTGTATAGGATTTTTATGGCCTATTCTGTTTGTTATTTGTTTGGACTTACAATAAAAACTAGACTCAGCCTATGAAAAAAATATGGTGAAGAATATTAGAAGCCCTTTCTGTTTCAAGTGTTATCGAACTGCTTCAATAAAAAAAGAGCATAAAACATTTTACTTTTTGTTTGCACGCAGCTGGTGGCCAGATGACCCATGACCAGGCGTTAAAATCTCCTCTAGGCTTATGAAATTTGCTATTAGTAAGCAAACACGTATTAATCTCATTCTTCAAAGATTATTGATCCGGTGCTTAAGACCATAATGATTGTGTTGACAAGTTGGAGGGGAAGAAAAACAATTTAAGTCAACTTTACTGAAATACCAAGTGCTTTTTCCGTCATAAATAATTTCCGTTTCAACGTGCAACAAGTTTTTCTTTTAAATTGTTTTAGGCCTAAAATACATATTTTTTTCTAAAGGCGCGAATAATCGTTGAATTGATTAGAAATCGATAATTTGTATTGGTTAGGTAAGAAAACGCTCTATAATCTTATTATTATTTTTTCTTAATCCTTTTTTTGCGTGTTTAGATTAATTTTTATTCAGTCTAGTTTAACTGCATACATTTTTAAAAAAATTAATAACACAGCGTCATCTAGTGTTGACACGTAGTTTTTTTGAAGGTCACTTTTAGTTGAGGTGAAAAAGATACTAAGCCTATATAATTTGATAAATTAACGTACAAAAAGTAGGAAGTAAACGCAAGAATAGATAGATAATGCTTCAGTAGAAATGACTAAAAATCATGACAATCGCTAGATTTTAAAGAAAAAGAGATTCATAAAAAGTTTTTATCATGAGCAGATGGCGCCAAAATAATAAAAAAAACTTTTTCTAATCATTTTTATAAATTAGATAGGATAATTATAAGAAACGATTCGTCGTTGATCTAGTTCTTTATTAATAAATACCTAGAATATATAAATATTTTGTACAATGTATATGCATACAATATGTACTTGTATAATTGTATCCAGTATATATACATGTATCTATGTAGTGGCCAACTACGGTATTTATTCAAGGCCTATCTTGAACAAGTTTTACATATTTCACCTAGATAGACAGCCCTAAAAAATGGCTTTTGTATGCATCAAATTGTTATAAATTAAGCTGGTTTTCTTTTTTAGATTGTCTTTTAAAAAGTTTTTTGAATAATTCAAATTCTTTTTCACCAAAATCTATTAGTGTAAGAAACAAAAATTACAAAAATTGACATCATATTCAATTCATATTGCCTATAAATTTGTAATGCATACATTTAGCTTTTCAAGTTTTGCTAATTGTGTAGAAAGGTAAACTGTCTTTTATAACTTTAGATAGTCAGTTAAAAACTGATTAAGCATCTTCAATAAAACCCTCTTCTTTAAGGTGAATAGGGTCTATTATCCCTTTGCTTCTTTTCTGGGCAAATTTGCTTTAACAGCAGACTCATTAACAACATTTTTCAACATATTACATAAATTATTCGTGTTCCTTGTATTGAAATTTTCATCCTGAGGTCTTAATCTTCTTGGATTAAGTGATTAAGTATCGAAATTATCTAATCCATTCATAGAAAACATGCATTTATCAGTTTCACCATTTAATTATTAGTCTACACTCTGATAAACACACTATAAATATATTTAACACATTTTGTTTTATTTCGCTTTCTTTTTTTGTCTTTTTACAAAGAAAAAGGTTTTTTTTTCTTTAAACCTTTCCTCCCCCTCCTCAATACTTTCAATATATCTTCCCTGCTCTCTGTTAATCTTGACCAATGCTTTTTTTCGTTTGCAAGACCTATATTCTTTCAAATCTTCCTTCAAATTTTACTTTTGTTTTATGTATATTTGATAAGGTTTTAAATTACTAATCTCTTCGTTTGAAGAGAAATCAGCAATAGTCCGGTAACTTTTACCATCTGAAACTTACTTTTTAATTATCTTGTCAGGTTTTTCTTTGGAATATATTTTTTATGTTGAAAATAATATAATAAACAGTGGATTACAAAATGAGCTATGTCAAAACTATAGGCTATTAATCCAGATAAGAAAGAAAATTATAAGTAAATGAACAGAATACGACGTTACATTTTATATTAGTTGTTTTTCTTTTATAATAAGAAGGTCATAGTATTAAAAAAGAATACGTTATACATTATTAGAGGAGAGAATAAACTTAAGTTTTAAAGGCACTTTTCAACACACATATATATATATATTAGTATATACTAATATATATATTTTTAAGGGTAAATTTTTAAAAAATTGTTCAAAATAGGCCTTTCACAAAAATCGTTGTCAGCCACTGTATATATACTTTCACTACAGGCCAATTTGTTATGTATTTATATTAAATATGATTATATTGTAGACTAATGGATATTTTTATCTAAAGAAATTAAAAAAAAGTGTTTATCATAAAATTTTTTCAAGGTTGTAAAAAACACTTTGCATCGTTTACTTTATCGATTGTAACTTTTCTATCGTTCATGTATTGTATAGGTCAATATTTTATAGCTTTCAGTAGGGAAATTGAAACTTTTAGAATATTTTTGACAGTTAATTTCGGCGAAATTCTTGAAAATAATTGTGCTGCCACCTGTTTGAAATTTATAATTAATAATGCCTTACTTTGTAAGCAACAAACCATAAGCTTTTCTATACATGCTCTAACATATTTCTTTTACTTCGCATGTGTTAATCCAAATGATCCAGAGTTTAAACATGCATTTCAATATGTAAATTTGTCTATACAAAATCTAGTCCAAGTCCGCAAGCACTTGTTTTAAGACAGACAATAGGGGGCGTACTTAGAATGGATTTTTGAATTACTATATCTGAATTTGGGAATCATCGCTATTATATTTATTAATCTTTTTGGCTTCTATTCGCACTTTTACGTTTTCATCCCTACATACAACTTGAAAAATATATTGATTTAATGATTTTTAATATTCTCTCTTTGAATAGTAATAATAAGAAATGTGTATATCTTTTTCAGATATAATGATTACATTTCTGTTTAAATCGAATCTTAATAAACTAAAATATATTTTGATAAATAGTTTTTCTTTTGAAACGTGAAAAGGTTCACAATTTTAAAGTAAATGAAAACTGCTGCTTGGATGAATTATTTAATGCTAAAAGAATCTAATAATTTAGAGCTAAAAACTAACATGATTAATCGAATAGCATCTAATGCTTGTTCAAACACTTCCGATTGAACTGGAAAATCAATTTTTAAATCCAATTAGGCTATGCTCCAAACGGCTTGTTGCTTAGTTACTTAATTTCCTCCTCTTGCCAGTCTTTGAAATTTAAATTTACGCATAGTAGAATATACAGTAATGAATAACAGAATGGTTTCTATGGAAAAAACGACTAAAAAACGGCGGAAGACAACATCAATGCTATTACATCATGAAGAGAGAGAATTAGAGAAATATAGGCAAAGCTTGGAAATGGAAAGCAAAGAGAGACTATCAGCTTTTAGGAGAAGCCATGAAGTATTTGTTGGCAAATATGGTCATAATCTTTTACCAGCTTGGGCTCCGACGGTTTCACATCAGTTACTTAATGATAAGTTCTCGCGAGTTGTTCATAGTTTTCTTCCGGAAATACCAAACAGTAGGAAGGTCAGTTTAGTAAGTAGTAGTTTTCCAGTGCCAAAAAGAAATGTACGGGAAATTCGTCGAACTATGAGTATGACAAACTCGAAACATTTAGATTATACAGAAGAAGATACAAGAAGATTATTGGATATTGACAAATTTCTGAGAAGCTCTCTTCTAACAGAAAGTTTGAATTTTCAAAACACTAGCAGATCTAATAGTATAGAATACGATAGAAATAAAGATGGAAAACTCTTTAAAACAGTAGCAATGAATGTCATTAAAAGGCAAAGTGTTACTAGAGCTTTCCTCTCCACACTAGTCGAAGAATCAGAAGAAGAGGAGAATAATGACAACATTGGACATTGCTATTTAAATGAAGCCTTTAGGACTTTAAAGGATTGCCGATATTTGAGACTACCCACTTTCGATAATAAAACTTAATAAAACTACAATACTTTTTCTAATTGAATATCTTTTAATCCTGAAATAAACTTTGACAGAAATTTGATATTTTTATGGATTATTCTTATTCCACTCGAAACTGGTGTAAGACTACGATTTAATTCAAATAGAATATCAAAAAAATAGCAAACAATATGATAATCTTAAAGAAATCAAAAGAAATTCAAGTTACGTCTCGTACGAGTCTAAATTGAAAGACATTTATTTGACATTACGAAAAGGAAGGTCATGACGATATTGTAGAATGTCAATACAAAAATAAAAGCTGATAAAAGCGAGACGAAAACGTTAAAAAAATAGAAAGAGAGAGAGAAAGAGAGAGAGAGAGAGAGAGCGAAACTAAAAATGAAGGCTATTGCTTTTCATGTATTTGTGCTTTAATTTGCTAATAGACCTATTCAGGAAACTTGATGAATGCTTAATCTGAATACTACAGTATACTTTGGATATATAATTAAAACGATATCTACATATATATATATATATATATATATATATATATTTAAAAAATCCAATGACATCGTAGACAAGAGTTTGTCTGCTAATGGTAATTATACACTTAATCAACAACCAGACACAGTGAATTAATAATATACTATCATTTTTTAGAAAAGTATGTTATACTATTTTAAATAATCTTATCAAACAATGATATCAAATACAAGATAAATTACACAATAGACAAAAGAGGCATAAGGCGCGTCCAAGTACTGTTCATAACATTTATTACTTAAACGAAAGATTGAAAATGGTATAAAACTGGGAAATATTTAAATAAAATGTGGAATATTCAACAAAAAAAAACCGTAACAATTCTGTCTACACTTTAAAAAAGAAACAAGTTCTACATCATATATTTTAAAAAAGAAGTCATATCTTTAAACTGATTATGGACAACTGATAGTGTGTTTTTTATAACTTATTTTTTGGACGGATAACTCTTCGATAAACAATTTAATTAAGTAATATGTTTTTTTCTAGTCTATTCATTGATTAAAGACGTATGACTCAATAAATTTATTTTGATATTTAATTCATAATATTTATCTGTTCACTTAATGAATGAATAAACATTTAAAGTAGTGCCATTCAAAAAGTTTCTTTTGTATTTGTACACTAAAAGTTTTAATTACGTTACAAATCAATATATCATTGTTAAATGAGTCGTTACACGTCGTAAGATGATTTATAGAATTATAATCAATAATTTAATGTAAAAAGAAAAAAATTGATTTTTACTTAAAATGTTTATTATTTATTTAAATAATATAAATCGATATAAATCATATATTTGTAATCTGAGAAATGATCGTTTAACATTAATAACCTTTATATCATATTAACAAGTGCTTTTATCTATAGTTAAGAACTATGATTTTTACGTTTGAAGTTTCTTTGTAAAAATTTAAATCATCCCCTAATTAGCATATGAGAGTAAATAATGAATGCGTACAGTAACTATATACGAAGTATATATTGAACAAACTTCTCTTCCATATCTTATAAACGGTGTTAATGAGTAGTTTATTACTTTAGGGATAAGTTATTTGTTATACAGTATAATACAATTTTTGTGGTATAATACAAAAAACAAATAGATTGAAATGAATTAAATACAAACGCCAAACAACATATTGTTTATTTAATGTTTAAAGTAGGAGATACTTTAGTTTCTTCTCTTATTTTTATTTACATTATCAGATTATACTTTAAATGATAAATAAAACTCAATAAACCAAGTTTTGTTCTATAGTTTTAGGTTATCAATTATCAAATAGCCCTCTCAGATCAAAGGTAAAAATAGTAAGAGAGAGAGAGAGAGAGAAAGAAATGATTTATTTTATGTTGTTTTTTAAATAAATAAAATGTTACTTGAATAAAGATGATTCTAATTTCATATGGATAAGATAAAACTATACAAGAAGTCTTTGATTGATTGATGAAATTTCGTTTATCCTGTTGCTGTTGAATTCAGAGTACTTTGATGGCTTTTTTCAATAATTTTGCCAAGGCATAATTTACATGTTACTTTATTTATAAGGATTAGTCCATTATGTCTGAAGGCAGCGTAAACTGACAAGTAAATTAACACATTTGTAAAACTGTTTGACATTCCAGTCCATAAAAGACAAAATTTGAGCACAGGGTGGACGAAAGGAGGATCCTTTGGTATTAAGACAATAAATAAATGAATTGCATATGGCATCCAAGCTAAATAATAGGCTGATGCTGTTATGACTAACAATTTGATAGCTTTGATATTTCTTTTAGAAGCTCCATCCGATGCTTTTGAACCATCGCTTATTTGATTTTTATGTGCTCTCAAATGAAGAACAATGCTAATCGTACAATATAAAAGTCCAATTGATGTTAGAACAGGAACAGATACGACAGCCATAATACCGAACCAAGCAAATTGCCAAAAATCTCCACATACAATTTCCTTTGGTGAGTATATATAATAAATAAATCTCTTACTAAGGAGAACTGGTAAAACGAATAAACCGTAAGCTCCCAGCCACATAAAGCCGATTGTAATTCGTAAACGTTTTTCAGTAATTATATCTCTGTATCTATTAAAATTAACATCTTATGTAACATTATCAGACAGTAAAACAATTTTACTAACTTCATTGGGTGTAAAATAGCGAAATAGCGATCTATTGATACTAATAAGACGCTCCAAATTGATACTGTAGCGTTTGCGCATAAGTTCATTCCAGAAATTTGACAAAACACTTCTCCAAATAACCAAGTTCCAGTTACAGATGACGGTACTGAAGGTGCGCACGAAATAAGACCCAGCATACAATCAGCAAATGCCAAGTTAATAAGACACATTCTGGAAATTTTTGGAATTTGTTTGGTCATTGCCAAAACGTTCATACTAAAAATGTTGCAAACAACCAATAGAACGGCTACTAAACTCGTAAGAAAAGCGCGTAAAATTAATGGCATGGGATGTTGATATACATTATCTTTTTCATTAAGCGTAGAATTGTTCATGACGACTGAAGAATATCTAGACAGCTAATAATGTTTCTTTTTAATGAAGTATTTTGCCCTTTTATATGGTATCCTATTAAATTAAAATTGTTACACTTTCTGAAGAATTCATTTAGTGAAACTTCCCAAAGTTATTATATTTCTTTCATAGAAAAAAGAATACTTTATTCTTCTCTGATCTAATTAGTAGCGTTCATTAACTTTTGCCTTTAGCCTTGTACCTCTGTTGTAGACTAAAGAAAAAAAAATTAACAATGATAAGCAAACCTCTCATCCGGTTATATTAGAAAACAAAGTTAGTTTCCTCACATATAATTATTCTAGTAACTTACTAATAATAAGTTTAATAAACTTAGTTTGTTATTTATAAAACATATTTTATTGTTACCTCTTGAAAGTTTATAGTAGCAATGACAAAAAGTGAAAGATACTTGACCGAAGATGCCACCTGTCTATTTGATTTTATCATTTGGAAAATTATATCCTAATAAGAGTACATTAATTAAAGGATACTGAGTTTTATCTATTAATATGTTCTATATTAGGTTATATTAAACATAATTTTAGAATACTGCAACATATTGATGTAGATATAATTTTGGATATAAATTGAAATAATGAAAGTACGACAATAAACATCTAAAAAAAGAGACATCCTAGAAAGGGGTATTATTTTAGTGAAAGATGAGACATAAAGGCAAATGTCCTTCTTTAATTTTCAGATAATTATAGGGAAATTATAGGTTATAGTGAATATCGCTTTTCCAATATCATTTTTTTAGTCCAAAGAAGAAATATCAAATTAAAATAAAAAATAAAAATATCGGCCTAGAATTTATCTTATAGAACTTGCAGAGTTGTAAAGAAATACTGAAAAAAAAAATGGTAAGTTTACCTTAAATATCAATAATCATCTGATGTATTTTTATATTATATTTTATATTAAATTATTGTCAATAGAATCTCTTTTAACGCATTTCTTATTTCTTTTAAGAAGAATTCCATTTTTTTCGAAGGACAAAAAGATTTTAGTTGAATAAAAGTCATTTCTGAATTGAAGTATATGATGTTAATATTTCTAATGTATTTCTATTTAGGGATATGAAAAGCGCAAATTTAAAAATCGTTGAATTATATTTTTCTCAAAGCTAACGTAAGTAAAGAAATACTAGAATGAAAGTACTTTTATACTTTATCAATCATTTTAGCCATAACAAGAGAAACTTACTCATCTTAATTGTAAATAATTTCTTGGAAGAGCCAATTGTATGTGCATACTTTAATACGATTTATTGGTTTTGTTTTCATTCTATCTTCAATTCTATCTCCATATTTAAATATTTTAAAAGGAATAATATTCTTGTCTAGAATTTATTAAAGAATTGTACTTCATTTATGAAATGCTACTTCATAATTTTACAATAAAACAGAAAGAATGTTGCCTTTGAAAAATAAACATCAAAACATTATCCATAGTTTGACAAGCTTTCTAATCATGTTCGGTATTTAGTCGTATTCTAACTTTTAGCATCTCATCTCAATAGAGACAGTAAACAAAGCTGAACATTTTAACTCTTTAATGCTTGTATTACCAAGCTATTTTTTGTTTTTAGTTTTGCTTTATAATAAAAATTCATTTGCCTTTTAACGTTTCGTATTTCCTAATCCAATGTAAATGACTTAATAGATTAAAATCTCTTTTAAAATCAGCATTTGTTTTTATTATCATAAAAGTCAGGAACATCACAAGGCTTGTTGACAGCGTTGAAGTGCTTTTGTGAAGAATACCTTATTCTTTAGTACTAATATTATCAATCAAAGATATGATTGTTGTTGAAAAATGGTTTCTTAACGGGGATTTTATCGATAATACAATATGTAATTAATTTCTAACATTTTCAAAGAGACATTCAACCAATTCAAAGATAAAACGAAATGATAAAAACAATTGTTTATCCCAGCGAGACGTTAAAACTTCTATTCCATGCCTACAGATGGCGTTTTCTAATTGAAAATATGTATACGTAATGTATCTTAAGAATTAGTTTTAACTCTATTATTACACTATTCAAGGAAAAACTTAATTGTTAAAGTAGTATGACAGCTTTTCTAATTATAGGCAAATTGTTATAAGAAAATTTTTATCATTCGTATTACAAATATAAAATGGAACAAAAAAGAAAAAAAAACAAAATATACATAAGAAATTCCAGAAAGTACGTTCTACAATCTTAGTATCCAAGAAAGAAAAAAACAAATTACTTTATTCCATCAACAGCTTTTTCTTTATCTAACTGGAATACTAAATTTATAATACGATTAATCTGTTATCATTCAAAATTTTGTAAAGTAATTCCAAAGTAAAGACAGCCTTTCGTATACCATTGTGAAAATACTCGAATATTTCCTTTATCTTTTCGTAATTGACAATCATTTATAATCTAATTATACAGGCATTTAGTAAAGGTAATTATCTTTTAAAGAATATATTGAAGGAAATTGGGATCTTTGCGAGATAAAGAGTAAGTTTGTAAAAAAACAAGTTATAAAATTATACATATATATGCAATATATCGATATAATATACATATAGATTAGCATTGGAAAACTACCAATGAAAAATTAAACAATGCAAATCATTCTTTGAATTTCTTATCATACTATTATTCTATTAATTTACATATTTCTAACTATCTAACATACTAATAGAACTATGGAAAACAATATACAAGACTGTCATTAAACATTTTATACATTTTATTGATCATCATTATAGATTAGAATAAAACATAAGAATAAATTATTAGATTTCTTACAAAAAAATAATCATATCTCTGAAAGGATAAATTACTTTTTCACTCGTCTCTCTCTCTCTTTTCTCTCTTTCTGTCATGTTTTTTGATATCTGGCGAAATATTATTTTTCAATTGAATTCTTTGAGATATGATATACAGTATTTTGGATTATTCTATTTGCTTTACCTGAGGGAGGAATACAATAATATTCGTGTTCTATAACAACGTACTTTGTTGTAGAACCTATTGCAGTAAAGCAATTAGAGTAGCTTAGGAGCAATAGTATTTAAAAAAAGGAAATAATTTTTGCTGTAAGTGAGAGCGTATCAATGTCATTAAATCCACAATTGCATGGTTCATACGACAAATTCTCGTTATTTTTTATCATTTTATTCCCTATTCTATTTCCTTTCTTCTCTGTAAAATGTTTTCAACTCTAGATTATTGATATAGATAGAAGAGGAATATTTTTATAATCAGTAATATTAAGTTTGAAAATAGGGAAACGCATAATAAATCTATGGAAAATGTTATTTTCAAGATACAGTTTCAAGCAGATGAGTGTCATAAGAATCTTTTAATAAATAGAATTTATATTTTATCTCTCAAATGTTACTCCTGATTGTCGAATGATTATGAAATTAAGAAAAAACAGAAAAGATGAAGAAAAAGTACCTATGCTTATTCATTGAAGGGTTTAAAACTAATAGAAATGCTGAAAGAAGGATTTTATCGTTACTTTTTTCATCTTTGGCAATGAAACTATCAATATGGAGAAGAATTTTAATCAAATCCAGAATGTACAAAAGCCTTATAGGCTTATTTACTATTAGGTTTCTCATTTTTGTATTCGCTTTATTTGACGTTTACTTTTTTCACCATTGATCAGCTTTGTTTATTAGACTTGACCTCAACTTGATGATAGAATAAATTGGATATATATTAGTTTTCTCTTTCAGGCTTATTAAAATATATTTATACAATACGATCATTATTTTATAATCCATACGTGTTGACTATCAGGGAAATAGATGCAGGGAGTAAAGAATCTGTCTTTTAAATAGCTTATTATTTATAATATGAATTATAATCATATCCCCAAGACGAAGCAGCACATGTACAAATGAATAAGTATAGGTATTATACTGTATACACTATATGCAATGCTTATAAGAATGAGCTTATTAGTTTGCTAAATAGTTTAGAGATAAAGATTTAACACTCTTAAATGTATTTATGTAATCTACTATATATAACCTATATACGTTTATACATTCTATTACAGCGTCTTTCCCTCTATATGAATATATATCAAACTATAATGGTTTTCATTCCTTTTCATCCCTTAATCGCATAGTATCAAATTTCGTTCAATGCCCGATCGTATTATTTATTAAACTATTAATTATATTTCTTTATAAACTATATAAAATTAATGGAATCGCTTATAGTGATAAGAAGCTTTAATAAATTCTCAAATTGCTCTTAAACATCTAACCAAAGCATATTTTCAATAAGAACCTATTACTGATATTTCAGCAATTGGAAATTGAATTATGGATAAATATCCGTACGAAAAAAAGCTTTTCTGTCAAATATCTGAAGTAGTATTTAACACCCTAAAAAAAGCAGTGTACGTTCTATTAAAAACCCAAACAAACGGTAGTTTGGGATTTTTTCTTGTTATTTATTTTTATCCTTTATCGTTCTTATGCAGATTGTAATATATGGCTCATTTGTTTATCCAATTCTTTTTAGGCAGACGGTTCAATCTTCTACAAATTCGGTCAAGTTGAAATAATATGTCAAGGGTTTATTAAAGATAAGCAATTTTTTAGTTTCTTTGTTTATAATATTTTATAGAATTTACAGATCTATTGTAAAATAATATTCAGTCTTTTCTCTTTATATATATAAAGTTTAATAACAGTAAAAAACGAAAAACAGTAGAATTTTGATTGATCTTACTTAAAGAAATTCTTGAAAACGTCTATTGAACCAATATGTAGGTCTTATTAAATTGTTCATTAATGCATGATAGGTGGCTATTTTTAGCTATATATATATTTGTTTTTATATTTTTACATAATTGCCATCGTTTATTAGGAAACTTTGAAGGGGAAAAAGAATATTGTGCTTTTTATTCATTAGATAGTGTACCTTTATTTTCGTTATGACAGCTAACTAACTTATATTTTTTATCGAGTTACACTGATTAATACGGCTTTTAGTATCTCGTTTAATTAGTTTAGTTATATATAAATTAGCGTTAACTAATATTTAATAAATATTTCCATTGGGAAATGTAATGAATATATTTAAACTTTGTTGTTTTTATATAAAAAATCAAAGAAAATAAAGAGGGTATCTTTTTGAGTCATTGTAAACGATCATATAATTAGCAAGCTACCTTCTATTTTGACTTAAAATACCAAGTAAAATTACAATGCACTACTAACACTAAATTGCCATAGCAGTAATGCTCATATGATTTTCAACCCCCTGTACCCTTCTCTCAAAATAGAACA